CGGGATGCTATATAAATTCAACCTGTTTTAATAATCCAATTTTTTTAAGGAAATTAAAATCTATTTTAACCCCTTAAAAAGTGTCAGCATCTTGACAGAATGGCAGATGGCTGAATTTGTGTAAAATGTAGAACTCATTTGATACCCTCCAATTAAAATTAGAAAAGTCTTTTAATTTTGCGAAACAATGAGGCTTTGACATAGATTCTGTAATTTGTAAATTGTAGCTAAGTATTGCACAAAGATATTTTGCAGCCCCTGTATTGTTGGAAATTGTGTGTCTGTTTCTCATATAGCATTATTTTAAGATGTGCATTTAATGCCAGAGCAAATGCACACTTTGACATGTCTCACAGAACTAACTTTTAGTGCAATTGCAGATGTACTTTTTTAGTATCAGATCTACTGGGTACAATTTAACATGGTTTAAACAGCAATATTTCCAATTCTATTAAATTATATTTGTCGTCTAAAACACAGCAAATTGTTCAGTTGGTCTACCATTCCTCTTGAATTCACCTAAAACACAGCAAATTATTCAGTTGGTCTACCATTCCTCTTGAATTATAATATAATCTTGAGCAGAGAGCCCACCAGAGCAATCTTGGAATGGAGTGAGCTAGGAACAGAGTGAGGCCTCTGCAACAAGAATTTGGTAAGAGTGGGAATTCGGGGCGGGGGGAAGGAGGTGCTTATAATAAATTTTTTTAAATAAAGAAAAACTTCTGTGAATGTGGCAGAACAGCGGAGACCTGTTCCATGCACATTGTGTGTGCAATGTGGGAACTCCAGGACTCTTCACTTGTATGAGTACAAATCGTGCTTGTACTGGACAACCTTGTGTGCAGGAAGTGCCTCTGGCTGCTCGAGCTCAGAGTTTCTGAGTTTCTGAGCTTGAGGAGAGCCTGGTGTCACTACAGTGCATCCGGGAAGCAAAAGCTTTTATGCATCGTATGTTTCAGGAAGTGGTCACCCCACAGCCACAGAGTGTTCAGGAAGAGAGTAAGTGATAGGAGGAAGAGACAGGCTCGACTGGCTCCAGCCTTGTCCTTGCACCCCGGACCCTCCGCCCCACCATTGCTGGCTGTGCTTTCAGTCACTATGCCCCGAAGCTGTGGAACTGTCTCCCTCAACCTCTTTGCGTGGCCCCCTCTTTCCGTGTTTTCAGGTCGCGCTTGAAGACCTTACTTTTTGAGCGCGCCTATGGCAATCATCCCCTGGCTCAGCATCGGGCTCTGCCACTGTTAAGTGTTTCGAGACTCCGTCCAGGGTGAAGGCCACTATATAGATGCAAGTTGTTGAGAAAGGCATTATCATGTCTTCAAGATGTCTCAAAGTGCTTCACAGACAATACTTTTAAGTGAATTGACTGTATATTTTGTGGACAAAACATGGCAGCCAATTGTGCACAGCAGTGTCCCACAAACAGTCATGGATTGATTGACCACTTTTTTTTAAAAGGGATTATTACCCCCGGGAAAACGATCCGCCAATCGACTAACAAGACTAACAACCGGGTTTCTACTTACTGCTAGGAAAACAGGCGTGTGGAGTAAGGAAACGATGTTTCACCCTGCCCGGGAATTCAATTCAACCCAGGTCCTCAAGCTTACGAAGCAAGTGCTTTAACCACTATGCCACATGAATCCAGGGTTAGAGTTTATGACATTACCAGCAATTTGACTGTTGGTCACTTTGTTATACAAATGCTTACTTTGTGTGATGAGATCATGTTTACATAGCCTTTGCTAATGGGAATTCAAGTCTGATCACGTTAAACCAATGGAAATCAAAACAATGCCCTCATTTATTGTAACATCAATGAGGCTCTCTTCTTAAGTGGAAACAAAGTCATTAAACTTGTCTGTCTTTTCAGTAGAATTTGAAGATGAAAGATTGAGATAGGATCTTTTAATACCTGATTTAAAGATTAAAATCATAGAATTATGCAGCATAGAAAGAGGCCATTCAGCCCATCATGGCTCTTTGAAAGAGCTGTCCAAATTAATCCCACTCCCCCGCGCTCTCCCCATAGCCCTGTAAATTTGTCCTCCCCAAATATCTATCAATTTCTCTCTTGAAAGTTGTTATCAAATCGACTTCCATCACCCTTTCAGGCAATGCATTCCAGATCCGAACAACTCACCGTGTGAAAACATTTCTCCTCACCTCCCCTCTGGTTCTTTTGGCAACTATTTTAAATCTGTGTCCTCTGGTTATTTGCCAGTGGAAACAGTGTCTCCCTGTTCACCCTATCGAATCCCTTCATAATTTTGAATAATTATTAAATCTCCCCTTAACCTTATCTGCTCCTTGGAGAATAATCCTAGCCTCAACTCATAACTAAAGTTTACCATCTTGGAGTCCTGTAGCTCAGTGGTTAGAGCACTCGCTTTGCAAGTGAGAGACCTGAGTTCAATTCCAGGCAGAGGGCGAAACCTTGGGCAAGTTTCCTTACTCCACACGCCTAATAATAATCCATCCAAAACCAAAAACAATAATAAAAATTGGTTATTTTCAATCTACGACTGTTTGTGGGACATTGCTGTGCGCAATTGGCTGCCGCGTTCGCCCACAAATATACAGTCAATTCACTTTACAGTGTGTTCTGTGAAGCGCTTTGGGACGTCCTCCCGACGTGAAAAGCGCTATATCAAATGCAAGGATTATTATTATTATTAAATCTCCTTTGACATCCTTCCTAAATTGTTGTGCCCAGAATTGAACACAGTACTCTAACTGAGGCCTAACTAGCGTTTTACAAAGGTTCATCGTAATCTCCTTACTCTTGTATTCTATGCCCCTATTTATAAAGCTGAATATCCTGTATGCTTTTTTAACAGCTTTATTTACTGGTCCTGCCACCTTCAAAAATTCACTTATGTGGACCCCCGGGATTCTCTGTTCCTGCACCTTCTTTAAGGTTTTACTATGGAGCTCATATTGCCTCTTCCTTATTCTTCCTCCCAAAATGCATCACTTTGTATTTCTCTGCATTAAACTTCACTGCCATTTTACCAGTCCGTCAATGTCCTCTTGCAGTCTGCTACTATCTTCCTCAATTTTTACTATTTTTCCAGCTTTGTAAAATGAAAATAAATTGCCTATGCGATTGCCTGGAGTCCTGTAGCTCAGTGGTTAGAGCAATCGCCTCCCAAGCGAAAGACCTGGGTTTGATTCCCGGTAGGGCGAAACCATAGGCAAGTTTCCTTCTCCACATGCCTGATAATAATCCCTCAAGAAATAAAAATAAATAAATAAATTGGTCACTCAATCCATGACTGTTTGTGGGACACTGCTGTTTGCATTTGGCTGCCGCGTTTTGCCCGCAAAATATACAGTCTTTACAGTATATTCTATGAAGCGCTTTGAGATGTCTAGAAGATGTGAAAAGCGCTATATCAAAGGATTATTATTAAGGTAGGTTCTCGTCATATGAAGTGTTGGGGAAAAAGAGAGAAGACGGAATGGTTACTGTAGCCTCTTAGGTCATTTGTGGTACACGCACTGGGGGATGCATCCAATGGTATGATTGAAAGTGGAAATCTCCCACAAGTACCATAACGTTTTTTTTGGAACATTTTAAAGTACCACCTCCACTGGGATACGTTGCAGGTTCATTTGCTAGTTAGTCTTTGTTAGTTTCTTGCTGCTTATTTGTACTGCTTACATTGGGGAGCTGTACATAGCAGAGAGCACTTGTACATTGGTGAGCAAATGGAAGGAGAAGAAATTGGGAAAAGCAATGTAACCCAACAGATGCCATAAGGTCCCATGTGTGATTTAAAAGTGGTAATTTGTAATGTATTGATTATACCTGATATATTTGAGATGGATTTTCAGTCAGATTATTAATTGCATTAATACTTTGTGACAGTGCATAATTACATTTTTTGTAATGAATCTAATGATTCTATGTCCGTTTATAGTTAGAATTCTGAATGTCTTTCATTTAGGTAATCAGTGGTCTTAAAATAAAACTAATGCAGATGATTTCAAAATCAAAGTTAAGAAGGGTTCAGACACTTCATTAAAAATTGGCCTTTGAAGACCTGACTACAAGTAGCATCAATAAACTGAAAAGGCATTCAACTACAGAATAATACATTGGTGTGAAGTAAAATGCTTTCTTTCTGCAGTGTTGGCCTGAAACACGTGAAAGAGCACTTCTGCCTTTTGACGATGTCTTTATATAAGTGTTCATTTTTATTGTTGAGAGATTGACAGATTATTACGAATGTCCAGTTTTGGGGTTGAGGAGCACAATAAATATTAAATACATAATGTAATCTTGATTTAGCACTATGATTCTTTAATGCAAAGCTACTTCCATTTCCTAGCAATTTTAGAATATCAATGGGATCAGGAAATGCAGTAGTTGTGACACACAATTGTTACTTGAAGACATTTCTGTATATCAGTACAGCATTATTCCAGAAACAATTGGATCTATTAAAACAATTCCAATCACATTTTTATGTTGTTCTATTAACTGAACAAACGTTATCATGAACAACATCACTCTTAATTTCCTAATAAGTCTTATACACAAGCAACAAATACTTCAAATCCCCAGAAAATTGCTTCTACTTATGTGGTATTTGTGCAGAAAATGTCTACTTGTGTCACCCAAGCCTACCAACCTGTCTGTATCTTATAATTATTTAGACTAGACCAGAGTTTCTTTTGTAATGATGGAAAATTCAGCTATGTGCATAATATATATAATATATAAAAGTTATCCCATCCTGTAAGTTCAATAATACCCCTGCTTTACTAAGAGTGAATTTTTGTTTTCTTAACATTGTTCTCAAAAACAGGCAATTTGCTTACTTGCAATAATATTAAAATGTCATCATTGCCACATTTAAGAAAAACAGCATCAATCAACTTCAAATTTTGTCACTTTAAAAATGGAACTGATTTTGTGCTTTTAGGTTCAGTCCATTCCATGCAATTGTTTAGCCCATTCTTAATATTACATAAACTTGCTTTTTTAGATGAGCTGCGACGTGTTCGTGTGGAAACTGGGGAGTCAGAGCATGAGATACAGGTATTACACAAAGAGCTGAAGGAAGCACAGGACTTGGCCAGGACCAGCAAAGAAAAATCCTTTGAATTGCAAGGTGAGTATATTGTCAGAGAGCCTAGAGAGAATAAGAGTTTATTATTAAATTATTTTATTAATTTATTAAATTCATAAAATAGAATCATAGAATCGTACAGCACAAAAAGAGGCCATTCGGCCCATCGAGTCTAGTTTGAAAAGAGCAGTATAATGTCAATCCCATTCCCCAGCCCTTTCCCCATAACCCTGCAAACCTGTCCTCCTCAAATACCCAACCACCCGTTTTTAAAAGTAGTTAACGAATCGACCTCGATAATCAAGGTCCCTCATTCCTGGTACCATCCTCGTAAATCTCCTCTGCACCCTTTCCAATGCCTTAACATCCTTCCTATAGTGTGGTGCCCAGAACTGGGCGCAGTATTCTAACTGAGGCCTAACCAGTGTTTTATATAGGTTAATCATAACCTCCTGACTCTTGTACTCTATGCCTCTATTTATAAAGCCTAGTATCCCATATGCTCTTTTTACAGCTTTATCTACCTGTCCTGCCACCTTCAAGGATTCATTTACCTGAACCCCCAGGTCTCTCTGTTCCTTCACCCCCCTTAAGATTGTATTACCAGCCTGTATTGCCTCCCCTCATTCTTTCTTCCAAAATGCATTACCTCACATTTCTCCACATTGAAATTCATCTGCCATGTGTCTGCCCATTTTACTGTTCTGTCTATGTCTTCCTGCAGTTGGCTACTGTCCTTCTCACTGTTTACTACCCTACCTAACTTTGTGTCGTCGGCTAACTTGGAAATGGTCCTTGCTATACCCAAGTTCAGATCATTTATATATACATATATATTTATTAAGAAGAGCAGTGGTCCCAATACCGATCCCTGGGGGACGCCACTGAACACTTCCCTCCAGTCAGAAAAGCAACCGTTCACCACAACTCTCTGCTTTGTCTCCCATCCAGTTCTGGATCCATGCTGCCACTGTCCCTTTTATACAATGGGCTTCTATCTTTCTTACAAGTCTTTCATGTGGCACTTTGTCAAATGCCTTTTGAAAGTCCATATAAACTACATCAACTGCACTACCGTCATCCACCCTCTCCGTTACCTCATCGTAAAATTCTATTAGATTTGTTAGACAAGATTTGCATTTAACAAATCCATGTTGGCTGTCCCTAATTAACCCATATTCTTCTCAGTGAAGATTATAGTCTCCAGGAGTTTCCCCACTGCTGATGTTAGGCTGACTGGCCTGTAGTTCCCAGGTTTGTCCTTCTGTCCCTTTTTGTACACAGGGGAGTCACATTGGCTACTCTCCAGTCCTCTGGCACCACTCCTGTGTCCAACGAAGATTGAAAAATTGTAGACAAAGCCTCCACTATTTGTACCCGTGCCTCCCATAGTACCCTTGACTGCATCCCGTCCGGACCAGGCGACTTACCTACCTTGAGCTCAGTCAACCTTTTCAGTACTTCCTCTCTGTTTATACTTAACCTATTCATTTCCTCTACCCTCTCCTGTACTTTAGTGGTTAGAGCACTCGCCTCGCAAGCAAGCACCGTGGAGTCCTGTAGCTCAGTGGTTAGAGCACTCGCTTTGCAAGTGAGAGACCTGAGTTCAATTCCAGGCAGGTCAGGGCAAAACATTGGGCAAGTTTCCTTACTCCACACGCCTAATAATAATCCCTCCAAAAAACAAAATAATAATAAATTGGTCATTTTCAATCCATGACTGTTTGTGGGACACTGCTGTGCGCCATTGGCTGCTGCGTTCGCCCACAAATATACATTCAATTCACTTTACAGTATATTCTGTGAAGCGCTTTGAGATGTCTAGAAGACGTGAAAAGCGCTATATCAAAAGCAAGGATTATTATTAAGCAAGTGGACCTGGGTTCAATTCCCAGCAGGGTGAAACATTGAGCAAGTTTCCTTACTCCACGCGCCTCTGTTTATCTAGCAGTTAGTAGGAACCCAGTTGTTAGACGATTAGCGGATCGCTTTTCTGGGGATAATAATTCCTTAAAAAATGAATAATAATAATTTGGTCACTCAATCCACGACAGTTTGTGGGACACTACTGTGCTTCAATTGGCTGTGACATTTTGCCCGTAAAATACAGTCAATTCACTTTACAGTATATACTGTGAAGCACTTTGAGACCTGTCAAAGATGTGATAAAGCGCTATATCACATGCAAGGATTATTATTATTACACAGTGTGGTATGAAACAATGTGTCTTTTCAAGACAGTCAAAGATCATTTTACATAGTTTTGGAAGTCATTTTTCTGCCTCTATATTTTGCTCTCTATAGAACAAGTGTTGAGAATAGTATTGTTTCTGATGTGTTTTTCACTACCATATTTAATATAGAAATGTAGCATAGCAGATTGAGCTGTTGGTTTAATTTGATAATAATAATAGGTGGTTTACAGGAACAAAAATTTGGGGACCTATGCCTAAGATATGAAGTGCATGCCCTTGTGTGCACATCCTGTTTTATACAGCCATCTGTTACTTGTTTTAGTAGTATTAATGTTTTTTTGGTGTTAATTATTTCAATGACAATCAAAGTGGATCAAATCATATATTTGATATTGCTTAGTCCAATGAATTGGCCTGACATTTTAATTGTTTGTTTTTAACAGCGCTGCTTGAAGAGGGAAGAAAGATTAATAAACAGCAAGCCGAGCAATCTGCCAGACGGATCCAATTTCTGCAAGGTATGGTACCACAGCACTGTTGTTAACCAATCAAATGTTGACCGCAAAGATCCTTGGAAAACTACAATATTCTTTGTGTACAAGTTTATTCGCTTGTGCTTTTTGACAGGCTGCACGTGGTCAGTATCAATGACCTGGCAATTCCATCTCATGAAACTTGAGGGCTCTCTACCTTAAATACAGGAAAACATAAATAATAAGACTAATTAAGAAGGCCAAACTTTGATTCCCCAATGAGCAATTTAAAATTCTCAAACTCTTTGAATCAATTAGAATTTTCATAACAAGTTGATTCCTTTCGTAAATTTCTGACATGTACATTAATTTTAAGCATGCTTCAGAAAACATATGTTGATCTTCTTTTAAGATAGCTGCATTAAGTACCTTTAACCTCGAGGTTGGCATTCACCCTGCAATTTATCGTACTGATTACCTCATTGGATGGACATGACAGACTGTACCTCCAGTAGATCTAGAGTTTGCAATTCATAATTTGTGCATCAGAGTGAAATGCAAACATTACAGTTCCTGTCAAATTATTTTCTGCTCTATACAAAAAGCACACTGGATATAGGGGTGGGGAGAGTGGTGGTAGAAAATATTTTACAGTTTGCTGTGTAATAGGAGGATGATAGGGCGAGTAATCTGGAAGGATGAGATCCTTGCCTTCCAGTAACCTGCCCATGTGTGAACCTTGACAGTGAATGTACGCAGGCTATTTGACTTTCTCATAGCTGAGACTGACCTCCTGCTACACACATGCACTCCTACTAGAAAGTGCTGTATAGGGATCAGGCAAACAAACTTTGGCTGTTTTTCTCCTTTCCAGCCCTGGAAAGGCTTGGACAGAGTCTAGCAAACTCAGCTCCCGATCTGTAAGCTGTATCCCCTAGACAATGGAGCCTTCCCCTGTCAAGTGAAATTTGAATCTGGATAAAATGAAAATGATGAAATCTCTTCTTTACACAGTTCAGCTGTCTGACATGGAGAAGAATATTGATATTCTTACAAAGGAAAAGGATGCTGAAATTGCCGTTGCCCACAGTCTGTTGGCAAGTGCTCAGAAAGAGATGGTGGCTTTGCAACAAATGGCAGTGGACACTGCATTAGACCATGAAAATGATATTGCTAAACTCCATGGGGAATTGCGCAGTATGCATGTTGAGCTGGATCGATGCCGCCAAACTGCCTCTGAATGTGAAACGGTAATATCAAATCTTCAAGTCAAACTCTTATTGCAGAGCCAGGAGCAAGAGGCTAAACAGAAAGAGGAATCTATCAAACTACAAGGTGAGAAAAAATGGTCTGAGCTTGTGGAGATGATTGACCGGAATTATACAGTTTTTACACAGATGCTAAAATTACAATGTATTGATCACAACAACATTTTGCATTTGGCTTCCTATCACACAGAGGATACAGTTCAAGATCCTGGTCCTCACCTTCAAAGCCCTCCATGGCCTCACTCCCCTTTACTTCCCCGAATGCCTTCAAGACCCTCCTCTTCGACTGTACTTTAGATCTCCCTACTTCCTCCCATATACAGGTTTGAGTCTCAGAACACTTAATGATGCAGTTGTAATGTTGGGACTGAAGCTCTCAACAGTACAACTGCATCATTATTGCATTGTGGAGTGGGAGCTGGGTTTATGCTTCTCACTCCATATTGTTTTCAATCAGACCAGGGCATAAAGGAGTCCCAAAACTGGAGACATATTTTAAAGGAGCCAGTCACAAACATTAACATTTTTCTGATATTTCCCTGGCTGTCCCTTCAGCTTCGAATGGACCTCACTTCGTAGCTAACCCATTATGAAGTACATGGAGTCCTGGAGCTCAGTGGGTAGAGTGCTGGCCTCGCACCCAAGAGGATCTGGGTTTGATTCCCGGGCAGGGTGAATTGTTGGGCAAGTTTCCTTACTCCATGCGCTTCTGTTTACCCAGCAGTAAATAGGAACCCGGTTGTTAGTCGATTAGTGGATCGCTTTTCTGGGAGTAATATTCCCTTTTCTTAAAAGAGAATGAACACTCAATCCACAACTGTTTGTGAGATATTGTTGTTTTTCGCCCACAAAAATTCACGTTACAATATATTCTGAAGCGCTTTGAGACGTCTCAAAGATGTGATAAGGCGCTATGTCAAATGCAAGGATTTTTATTATTATTATCTTCTGAAACATCTTCTCCATTTAGTGTTAAATACCAGAGACCTTATGTATACTGCAAGATTGGTCATGATTTATTGCCAAAATTCTGATAATTTGCCACCAAATAATATACGTATTAGTATAAATGCCGCCATTTATACTAATACTTATATTAGTATAAACGTAGCATTTGTTTTTCCAATAGTAGCCTGCAAGCTCTGTACACCATCATTTCTGGCCCAATGGCCTTCTTCTGCTGGGTTAGTATTACTGTTTTCAAATCCTTTCATGCCCTGGCATCTCCCTTCCTCTCCGACCTGCTTATTCCCTAACCCACTACCCGCTGTCTCCACTCCACTGGCTCCAGCCTCCTGCATGTCCCTCATGCTCTCCGTTCCACCATTGGTGGCCACACTTTCAGCCACTACACCCCCAAACTGTGGAACACTCTTCCTCTATCCCTCTGTCTTGCCCCTTGCTTCCGTATGTCCAGATTTCACCTGAAAATTTTCCTCTTTGACCTACGGTCACCTCACGCCTCCCCCTAGCTCGGCGTCATGCTCCGCCACTGTTAAGCGTTCTGTGACGCTAACCTGTGTGAGGTGCGCTATATAAATACAAGTTGTTTTTGACGTTATTGTTGTTACTGTACTGTAACTATCAGAAGTGTGTGCATATTGCACTATTCTACTTGTGTACCAAGTTATTTGAATTTTTTTAAATTTAATTTAACTTTTTATCCTTCTGCTTATAGAGAAAAATGTAATATCTAAATTTAAGGATCAAAATCTTGTTTAACAATTCAAAAGATGTTTTTGTGTAACAAATATGTTTGGTAAACAGCAATAATGATCTTAAATTGAAGGTCTTTCCAAGCAGAAATATACAAAAATAGATTGGTCACTTCAATCCACAACTGTTTGTGGGACACTGCTGTGCGCAATTGGCTGCCGCGTTTCACCCACAAATATACAGTCAATTCACTTTACAGTATATTCTGCAAAGCGCTTTAAGACATATAGAAGATGTGAAAAGTGCTATATCAAACCAAGGATTATTATTAATATAGGAACTAAATCACTTAATAATTGTGTAAATTTTGCTTTATTGATATTTTATATTGATAGCTAATTATTATGTTGTGATTACGTAAAAATATTGCCTCAAATGTTAGCTTTCCTATAGATTAAGAAATTATTTAATATCATTGGTGTTTTTATAAGGGGTTAATGATGACCATAGTAATTATTCAATAAGGTATATCATTGTGAGGTCACTAACCAAATCACCCCTGTACAATGATTTTCACATATTGGCTTCAGATTTCAGGTTTCCGTGCAGTCAAAATGATTCTTCGCAGTCAAACTGCACACAGGTTTTTACAACCAGTCCTATTTGAGCACTCCTTTAGTACTATACAAAGGATTCAGACACCTTTGGCCAAGAGTAGGCCCACAAGGTGCGTAGAAGAAGCAACTAGCAGTAGTCTCCATCCATTGAGGAAATAGTTTGGATCATTCATGCTTCAATATTAGTGGGGGGTTTTAATCAATGCAAATGCCCTCTCCCTTGGAAAGTTGCTTGTTGGATATCTAATGGAATAACTGTACATAATGATTGGCACTGAATATTATTCCTGACTTGCTTCCCACTGCTTGTCCAGGCACCTTAGGATTTTACAGGGTTAACAGGAGCCGAGCGAGAACAATCCCTGACCCAGTGATGTCTGCACATCCAGTGCTTTGGGACGTCCTTCCGACGTGAAAGGCGCTATACAAATGTGATTTTGTTGTTGTTGTTGAATGTGAGGTTGTGAAAATAGGATTCTTTTCGAATGCCAGATTCACAAATCCATGTATATAAATATTTGCTTTAATCTAAAACAGGAGGTTCCTTTCTGCAAGATTAAGAGGCAGGCTATTTAGGATCTCCTTTGGCAGAAAACTACAGAAAATCTGTCTACTGTAATTAATTTCACCGAAAAGCAAGATAGATTACCCGCCATATTAAGTGATATTCTTTCATTACTGAGAACATTATCACTCTACCAATTAATTGGTCAAAGCAAATTGCTTCAAAAGGAATTGTTACCGGTGGAGTCACATAAATGAACATGCTCTATATTGATTCTCTGATGGAATTGGATAACTGTGAAATAGTAAATCCATTTTTCACTTGGACCTACCACAATTTTGTGTCATGGGAGAGGTTTATATTGCTCACTGGGAATAAGAGTGTCCCCCCTCCCCGTGATGACCAACTCCAGCGGGCTCACCATGCCTCGTTGCCCACCCTCCCCACCCCATTCGCTCTTAGTCTCGGTGTGCACATTTTGGCTGCCAGTCACCGACCCGAGCTGCTTCCCCAAAAAGCTCCCACCCCTGTCCTCTACCCTCCATTACCTCCCACTCAGTCCTCCTCTCCCACCGCCCTCTCTGATTCCTATCCCTTCTCGACCGTTCCACAGCCTCCCTCTGCCCCAGCCTGTGAATCCTCCGTCAGTCTCACCGTGGTAGACGCCACTGCCTGTCCAACAGCAGCCACTGCCCCATTCCCCATTCTTATCGCAAGGCCCATCAGTCCCTGACCACGGGGGCCAACCTCTCCTCCCTCATCCACATCCCTACCCTCCCTGTCAGTCCTCCGCATTCCGCCACTAACTGTCCCCTCCGCATCGGCCTACAAGATATCTGCTCCCTCTCCAATAAAATACTCACCATCCACCATTGTCGAGGAAAACATTGACATTCTCGCCCTCACTGAAACCTGGATCACTCCAGGTGACAGAGGCCACACCACCCGGCCACACTTTCCATCATACCCCATGACCTAACCGCCATAGTGGCGGTTTGGCTCTCATCTCTCAGTCCCCGTTCGGCCTATCCCCTTACTCCTCTGGAACCTTCGCCTCTTTTGAGCATCTTACCCTTTATAACTCCCTCCAACCTTTCCCTCAAAATTCTCCTTACCTATCGCTCCCCTCAAGCCCTACCCCACCTTCATCCCGGACATCTCCACCCTCCTATCTTCCCTCTCCCTCTACTCCGAATGCCTCCAGGTGAATTCAACCTTCACTCCACCCACTCCTGCTCTACCTCTGCTGACTTCTCCTCCCTCAACCTCTCTCTCCACATCCACTCCGCCATCCACGGCCACCTCCTCAACCTGGTGATCACTCGGGGCCTCACATTCTCGGACCTCTCCATCATTGACAAAGCAATCTCGGACCATCACTTCATCTCTCTTAACTCCTCAATCCCTCTCCCCACCACCACCCAACCCACCTCCATCTCATACCGCCCCTGGAAAAAAATCTCCTCCCCTCCCTCTCGGCTGCCTTGGAGTCATCTAAACTCCTTCCCCTCTGGGCTTCCTTCCAGAGTCACTCTTCCTCGGTCACTCCTCTCCATAGCTCCCTCTCCTCCACTCTCGATTCCCTCGCTCCCCTCACTTCCCGAACCATCTTCTATTCATGTAACTCACCTTGGTACACCAGCCACCTCCGCTCCCTTAAAGCACAGATGTGTGTCGCTGCCGCTTTAAATCAAACTTAATGATCCATCGGAAGATCTGGCTGGACTTATCGAATCCTACCTCTCCACCCTCGTCTCCGCTAAATCATCATTCTATTCCAAGACAATCTTGGAGGCCAAGGACAACCCCAGGCTCCTTTTCTCCATCACCAACCGGCTCCTCTGCCCACCCTCTCATGCCTCACCCACCCTCACGTCCAATGCCAACTCCGAGGCGATGCTGGACTTCCTTGAATCCAAAGTTGAAGGGATCCGCTCAGCCGCCTCTGCCCTTTCGTCTACTATCCCCTCCCCCTCTCACCCGAGCACCTACCCATCCCTCCATCCACACCTTCGAACCTGTTTCCCACTGCTTGCTCACCACCACTATAACCCAGATGAAACCAACCACCTGCTCCCTCGACCCCATCCCTACCCCTCTCCTTACCTCACAACTCCACTTCCTTATCCCTCTACTCACTCTCCCTATCCATTGGTACTGTTCCCACGCCATTGGGTTCAATTCCAGGCAGAGCGAAACCTTGGGCAAGTTTCCTTACTCCACACGCCTAATAATAATACCTCCAAAACCCAAAACAATAATAAATTGGTCATTTTCAATCTACGACTG